CACTCCATATAAATACTCAAACTTTATATTAAGCATCAGTCTATTGATGGTGATGATCCGACACTACACTACAAAAACTTTCCAAAAAACTTCAACCAAGTCCAATAAAGCTTTTTTTGGCCCCCAAATATAAGAAAAATGGTTCAGTAAATTGCTTACACTCCATTCAAATACTTCAACCTTATAATAGACAACAGGCTATTGATGGTGGTGATCCAACACTACAGAATAAAACTTGCCCAAAAACTTTAACCTCATGCTTAACCTTAAATTTAACTAAGTCCAATGAAGCTGAGTTTGGCCCCTAAAATATGAAAATATGGTCCAGCACATTGCTTACACTCGATATAAATGCCCTAACCTCATAATACACAACAGTGTATTGATTGTGATGATCCAATAATGTCTGGGGAAAAAATTGCCTCACAACTTTAACCTCAGAAGGTACCTAAATTAGCCCCTCTATTCTCCGAATAGGCGAGCTAATAAAACGAACACAAATCGTTTTGTTAGAACGTGTTCAAAATTAATGCATGCAACCATACGATTATTAGAAAGTGAATCATTAAGCTTCGTTTCTATAAGATCTATAATCATATATTTACATTTGGTGTGGCAAAGCCCTTCTATAGTACTACTAAAGTACTGCCAATAGCAGCTTCATCTTATGAGACTATAACTGAAGTTGGTCTTTGCACCTCCGAGCGACTTAACAGTGTCACTACCGAACTTATCGGTATCTTCTGCTTTGATCCCAAACACCAGCTGACTGTCTCAAGTGTCTATGAGATCAACAAACAATTTTACGCCTGGATGTTTCACCAATTCAACCTTCTCCGGTTGCACGATCAACATCAACAACATGCCGGACTGGAAATATAACTCTGACCTGATTACTGCGGGCTTCCGTTGAGTTCGTGCGCCGGATATAGGTCGCAATAAAATCGGAAAATGTTTTACGACACTTGATTAGTTACTTACAAAATGTCATTTGTTACTATTTATGAATCGAGAATATGATATATATATAAATCAAAATGAAATGAATTATTAACGAAAGCTGCGGAGTCTTTTCAATTTTGTATGGGAAATAGCGCATGACGTCAGCTGTTATCTTTTTGCCGTTCTATATACTGACATGACCTGACGGTAATAAGCGGGAAATTTGAAATTTGGAAAAGACATCCTTTTTTTTTGCGAATTCTCATTATGGAAATATAAATATAAGCAATAAACAGCATAGATGTGGCAGACCAGTTGGTCTGCCACATCTATGCAGTTTATTGCTTAATTATACAGTCTACGCTATGATAACAAACAACAAATAACCATTTCTCTCGTAAATTGGAGTTATAATAATATCATAACTAAACATAAGTATGTAACAACTGTCCATGAAAACCACAACAATATACATAGGTGAAAACACTGCCGAAAAGTATGTAGGTAAGAGATAAAGCATTTTGTTTTTAATTTGTTTGTTTATTTGTGGTACAACGTCCTCGAAAGGTCTTATGAAGACGGATGCTAGGGATATACCACTGAAACGAAAGGGTAAGTAGAAGAGGAAAGAAAAGGTAGATCCCAAGTGTTGCAAATGGGGCAGCATATCATATTGGTGTATTGAGTGACCTATAAATGGCAGAAATGCAATATTGGAAAAACGAAAAAGCACAATTCTGCAGAGGAACCCACGTTCATCAACTGTTACGATATTCAGTGGAATAATGCAGAGGGCGATTCAATATTTCCCTCACATGCATAAACCTTATGATGTTTGAATACATGTGAAGACATTTTAATTCTAGCAAGAGCCCTGGTACCTTAGGTCATACGTACAGATATTACGCTTGATCAATCTATGTTTAACTGGTAAACTGATATTTGCTCACTAGCTTCATGAGACGTCTAACGTGTTCACTGTAACAACACGTTATTTTTTAAAGAAATTTGAATAGACAAAATCAATGTATTTTTTAAGATAGTTGGCGCTTTCCGTGTTGGAAAAACTTATCTTTATACAAGATTAATATGTTTTAGAGGGTTCTTTTATTAAATAGTTGATACTTCGCTTGATGGAGGATTGACACTTTTCCTGTTATAAAGCTGATGCGTGTTTTACTGTTGCGCTAGACAGCTAAGAACTGCTTAGTATACTAACTTAACTAGCTTTATCATATTTTTTTCAAAATTAAATTGAATTCTGCTTCGTGAATTTTGACCGGCTATCATGTTAAGAAATATCAAAAACTACTTTTGTAATTGTGTCATTTTTTATGAAGGCATGAGCTCAGACTTGACATTTGACGACGTGCTGCTGGTTTTGCTTTAGAAATCCCACGGCGCCAAATATCATTTCCAGCATCAATCATCCTAGCCCCCATCTCTGGGGTCACCTGCCTGATTTGCCAACATATCAATTGTTATTTATACTAATTCATACAGACATTATTAGCTCGTTGCATTGTTACTCCAACCTTTAGCCAATATTGTAGTCGTATATTCAGTTAGAAAACAGACCACGTGTCGCATAGCCAATAAGCGACATATCGTCACGTTGCTGACGAGACTTGGTGATAAATGCGGGTTAGACGGTATGTGTAATGTCGTGTAGCCAAGGCTACCGTCGCTATATGCAATAAACAATACCGAACATCATTCAGTTCAAGGACTAATTTGTAGTGATTCTGATAAATTGAATAACATGCTTATCACGTCTGGAATATTGACACACCGCCCTCAAACCTAATACAAACACGCTGAACTTTCCCATAGCAGATTTTACTTGTTGCAATCTCTGATGAAATATCTAACCCTAATTCCTTAAATCATACTTAATTGTATTACATTCTTAATTGTGAAATGACCGACATTATTAGTTCGGTAAAAATATATCTTTCATGCGGTAACAATACAGGAAATGCTTTACATTTTTTTTCAATTTTATTTTCTCATTTGAAGATATCGCTTTAAGAAAAAAAATCCATAAAATTTCATATTATCAACTGAACGTTTTACATTTTGTTTGCATCGTCCTTATTTCTTTTATAAGGAAAGATTGATTCAAAACCACTAAACACTAGACTTTATTTTTGCAAATATTTCACAGCCCATTATAGCCAAAAGAAGGACTCGCATCCGTATTGGCAAAAATGTAAATTATTTAAACTGGCGATTAAAATTAAATAACTCAGGTACTCAAGTGTGAAGGTAAAACAGTTTATTCTCTTTTGTTTGCGTGGTGTCTCGATCAACTAAATTGGGTGGTCGTTCCTGACCTATGGAAAAGCATTGGCGTGTCATAGGAGAGGGCGGTTTAGACAAGTAGTCTACTCTTGCAAAACATTCTTCTTGAATGTGTGTTTACTATTTAGAATCCTTTTAATAATAAACGACTGAAATGTCGTACATCATGGGATTTTGTAGGTAGGGACTTACAATCATATATGTGCCTTGCTAATTATACGTTTTCTGAGATGTCATCAAATAAGTACGATTACTACAATAATATACCACCGTATGTAATATTACAAGGTAATACTGTATAATAACAGTAGCCCGTATTTGCTATTATATTGTCGTTATTGTATGCACATTTGTCTGTCACAATAATAGTTCACAAAAGCTAGTGTTCCCTGTTCATAGCCATTCCACATAAATAAGGCTTTTTGTATCTTGTAAACAGGCTGTTCTTTCTTTGTTTATTTTTGCATTTGTATTCTATATTTGATAAGCGTATTTGCCATACCGCGGTCAACAGGCAAATATGCCTGACAGCAAAAACGTTTACAGTAAATATACGGGGAATGCGATCTCATTATTAAGATGATTGGAACGAAATGACAACAATGCAACATATTTTGTGTTCTTTTTTGTTTGTTAAAATTTGTGTTTAAACAGTGATAACTGCAAACTGAGAAATACATCATTTCTTAAAATTAACAAAATTCTCCAAAATACCTTTTTCAAATTTGCAACAATCTTACAATGATAGTGTTACACCTTTTTGATTGCTAGTTTTGATTACTTTTTTCTCGCCTGGCATTTCTCAACATCAATTTCTACAAGAAAAATCACGAGCGCGTTTCACTGAAAATAATTACGTTCAAAGTAAAGTGGGTTTTTTTTACACAAATAACTTTTACATGATAATCATGTAAAATCTTTGGCATCTGTGGTTTTTCGAATTACATATTGTCGTATACATAAGAAAAATCACGTGGATGAAACAGATACAAGAAGAGATTTCTTTTATTAAATTCAGACAGGAAAACAGTGAATATCTTGGAAGTGAACACTTCTACAAATAGAAAAAGGAATATTTAAGGAATGTCAGATGAATAATGATCTCAGACTAGTTGACAATAGATTGGTCATTTTGCAGGCTGTTCAGTTTTCTGTACAAACAATGAAATGTTATTTGTTCTCCACGTTTATATTAAACATTTAATCTGTAATTGAAGTGATTGACGTACATCGTAGATAAAGTGAATATTACATCATTTGGTCGCTGGTTTATTGTTTGTACAGTGTTTAACGTCCTATTGATATCGAAGGTCATTTAAGGGTGAGCTGTCATGTGTGTTCTGTATTCGTGCATGGGTGCTTGAGCAAGTATGACACAGGGTAATTTAGTTGTTCAAACTGTCAAAAGAAACATCAAAGGATGTCAACTCAAAACCTACTAAACCTGTCTTTACATTACTTCAGCTGTTGTTATCAAAACCATTTAAAGTGCAAAATATGTATTACATACAGCTTACTCATAAGTTATGCTTAGGGTCAAAAAGGTGGCACTCAAAATTTCATAAACCACTGTTGATACAGAGTCATCTGGTTATTTCAATATGAGAAAAATTAAATAATCATAACTATGGCCATCAAGTTTTCGGCAAACCTCGGGACGTTAGGTTTTTTTGAGAATTGGAATAGGATATGTTCTTCCAGGGCTTCTAACCATTGTAGCCCAGAGAATGAAGAAAATTCATTCAATTACTTACCTATGTCATCCAGGATGTTCATATAGTTTTTAGCTGTGCCCGGGAGATAATCCGTCTCGTACTGTTGTATGATCGAATCCACCAGGGGGCGGTGGCGTCGGTCTGATGCGATCTTAGAGAGACCGTTGTCCGACACAACCATCGGGATGGAGTCAAGAAAAAGCGACCGATTTAAACGTGAAGAAGGCCAGTCGATCTTGTCGAATAGATAATAATTAAGGAAGTATACACTTTCGTCACTGTTGACTCCCATTAACAGGGACTTGTTAGGAAAGCGACCAGCGCGTAAGAATTCCTGTGGACTTTGCTTAATAAAATGGTTATCCGTCGTCGGCACTATTGGAAATGTGAGAAACGTTATCGGTACCTTCCATTGGTTATTTGACATGACATTGGCGTCAGCACGTTGGAGGCAATGTATGGCGTCACCTACGTCGTCAGATGAACAGTTCATCTCCTTGGCAAGGATTTTTGCATAGCTGAGGGCGGTATCAGGTGTCACGTGGGCCCAGTGACTTAGGCACGTGCCACTTTGCATAATTGCTCGTTGAAAAAGAGGCTGAGACATTTCAGACATGAGATGGTAGCTCACACTAGCCGCCCCGGCACTCTCTCCGAACAGAGTTATATCATTCGGAACTCCGCCGAAATATTCTATATTTTTATTTATCCACTGCAGAGCTAACACTTGGTCCAAAAGACCCACATTTCCAGGCGCTTCTTCGTTACCGAAATATAAAAATCCGAGTGGTCCCAAACGGTAATTAATTGAAATAACAATAATATCTGCGTATGCAGCTAGAGCCGTCCCATCGTATAGCTCAAGGGCGGAAGTTCCAGTTACAAATCCCCCGCCAAATATCCATACCATAGTGGACTTGATAGGGATCTCCAGGTTGACGGGTACCCATATATTGAGGTAGAGACAATCTTCACTCATTCGGGTCTTTGGGTTCCAAATAGCCTCCCCCTCCTCGCCCACCTGAAAAATACTGGACGCTTATACGAACAGCGTATCCGAAGACCTTATCTAATTTAACTAAATATTGTTAACTCAACAATAAATTGGCCGGTCTAAACACATTTTTGCCTTCCCTCATGAGATCGGAACGTCGTACAGTAAGATGTAAAACTGACTATTTTATGTTACATTTCCGTGCCAATTAAAACAATCGGATAGAGAAATTAAGATGTATTTTCTACTCGCTAAATCCGGTATATTTAACATAAGAATAATCATACTCTTTTAGAAAAAGATAAGATTCAATGATAAATAGTTGGATTTCATATAATTTAACGTTATTTAGCATATTTTTTGTCGACCATCTGTTGGCCCTAATGACCTATCCTGTGTTGTTGGGCCGTTAAGCATTGATAATAATAATAATAATGATAATTAAAATATACAATGTAAAATACAAACCTTGCCAACGAATGAGAGAAAAGGTGTCTGGTGACAGGCGTTGTGCCAAGAACTAGTGTTGAGAACGCCCTCCCAACTTTCTACTGGCAGAGGACGTTTGAAGCGAAGGTTACCAATAGGTGGCATGGCGAACGGAATTCCTAAAAATGTCTTTATTTTCTTTCCAAACATTTCTTGAACGTATCCAGCTATTGTTCCGTGAGATGTATGTACTTCCGGTATATCTTGTGCGTGTGCGCATACGTGAAGGAGAACTATTAGTAACCATGTTGCTCTAAACCAAATGCTCATTCTCTCCAAGAACTGAAACGAAAAAATGAAATTATATATATGCATTTGCAAAGACAAAACTAAAAAAACGCCGTTTGATTGGATGATATTTAAAACATTTTTAAGAACGATTATTTGTTGTACACGAAATTGTGCAACATGTATCTTTAATAATTCAGGAGAATTTTATTGCTCTATAAACGGACAGCAGAACACTACGTTGATTTTTATTACCCGTTGCTCATCATATGATTAACGATTGAGATAATGTATCGGGTATGATTATTCTACCTCTCACCCAGGGTTTTATCTAATAACCATATGTCTGTGTACTTTCTAGAAACATTAAGGGCTTTGTAAACGAGGAAATATTGCATAATAAAATGTATCTGCCTCCCTAAATCATTATTGTTCCTCAGTTCAGTTATATCGTAATCAAACTCTAATATGTCTGGTTTTGAAATGAATGCTTGTCAAAATTCTGGATTTTATCTGTAATTCAAAACTTTCGCTTTCTGTAGGATTATTCTGTTATATTCTGTTCTATTTCTGGACTACTGTCGAACCCCTTTTCGAAATAATCCAATTTAAATATCAGTAAAATAAAATCATTCGGCATACGAGATTAAAACATGAACTAGAGTGGAATACCAATATTTGTTATTGAATACTAGAGTTGTACACATTTCTTCCTTTTTCTGTCGTTTCAATTGCCGGTCTTTAAAGAGATTTTATGGATTCATGTTGAATACCATATATATTTCAAGATAATGGTACAGTACCGACATTGTTTTCACTATTGAAAAGCAGCGGGATACAGTAGTCCTATAAATTCTCCGAATCTGAAGGGGTTACATGTACGCTATGTCAAATTAAAAATGTCTCAAAACAAATATCTATGTTTTGCATCCTCTTTAGCTGATTGTGCACGAGTTCAAGCATTTAATTTGTCATGATTCCAAACATTAAAAACATATTTCACAAATGTTTAAATTGAGTTGCAAAACATAACATTACTGAGACAGTCTATACTATTCGATTCAGTTTGACTATCTTTACATTATGTTAGTTTAGTGTATGTGTATACATGTATCTTCACTGCTGTTGGTTACCATTTTCCTAATCCAAGAACACTCAACTATTGTTTATGCGGCTGCGTCATCGATAATGCAGCAAGGGTCACTATCCTATACATATTTTTAGATTTTTTTTGGATTGTTGATAAAAAGACAGTTTACGGTGTGTTTTATTGATATTTGACGGACTTTGTAGTGGATGTATGCCTCTAAGGGCGCGTGGACAGCCTAATGTGTGTCTGTTTCTTTAACACAATTACAAACTTGGGAAATCAATCTTTGTGTTACAGTATAACACATGTAGCACGTGTTTTGTTACTATGAAGATCAAGTCGTAGGCCTTGTAACATTGGAAAGCATTAACAAAATATTCTGTTTCATGACATATCCAGAACAAAACTATACCCATCCCTTCCCAAAATGTATACTCCTACCGAACATCTACATATCAAAGTATGCAACCATTTCAAAAGCACCCGTGCAGGTAAGGGACTGAGAAAAATGTATAACCACTGTTACCCATTGTATATCGTAACAAGCGACTACAAAACCCTGCAAAATGCGGGATTGGCGTGTAATTATCATTTCATTCACAATATAATTATCATTTAATTAATATAATGTGACCGGTCGGAATCCTATGCTTCGGCATGGTAATTCGGTGAGATATCCCTATAAAGTCGGTATCAGATGTGTGCTATAGCACGGGAGTAATTGCATCATACTACCCTACCCCAAAAACGCTTAGCGACATGCACACATACATTGCACACATTTTTATTTTGACCAAACCCTTTCAAAGAATTTGAAGGCGGGGACCGCTCTACCATTTCCTATGTTTTTGTAACAGTAGCATTGCCCTTGACGGTTGCACCTTCTTAGTCCCATAAATATAGAACAACACACAGCTATGATAGTATGGACATTAAAGAAAAGCAAATCATTGTAAAATGGTAAAAAATATAAAACATGATCTACAACATACCGAATATTTAACACAAGTAACAACGAACGTAGACATACGAGACGTTTAGGACAACAGAAAACTGATCATGGACAAGATTGTATAGGACGTATAGGGCAGTCCAAACTATGGCATGTATGTACTGGTAACGACCTATAGTACACCGAAGTGTTACATCGAATACAAACATGACATCGAATACAAACATGACATCCAACATACTAATACATGACATCGAATACAAACATGACATCGAATACAAACAAGAAATCGAATACAAACATGACATCGAATACAAACCAGACATCGAACATGTTAATACATGACATCGAATACAAACATGACATCGAATACAAACAAGAAATCGAATACAAACATGACATCGAATACAAACAAGAAATCGAAAACAAATATGACATCGAACATGTTAATACATAACATCGAATACAAAGCGAATACTCGTGTAAAATGTCAGTAAAATTAGTCTTAGGAAGATTAGGGTATGGATTAATGAGGAAATCTACGGAAACTGAGGTGTGGACGGTAATTACTTAAAGGCATCTCAATGGTAGACTCTAGACTACTATATAATAGCATGTAAACACTTACAAATCGTTTCACATTGATCGTATTGAAACTTATGTAAACTGCGGATTTTAATCAAATGTCTAATCCATGCGCTACGACAACTTAACAAATACCCCATAAGCACTACTAGTGATCAACCATACCGCTGCAGTTTCAGGATTATATAGCCATGTTATATCCTCCTATATGTCCTAAAATACCATAGTCCTTAAAAAAGGAACTTGTTTGTCCCTGTTTAACGTACAGTTATTGGGTTAATGACAACTGGTTAACTCATTGTTAGAGAAATGTGACTTGGTAAAATACTGTGTTGGTTGCTTTCGGCATGGTATTTGCACGAGGAAGCACTCGAAAGCCGGCATCTGATCCGCACAGAGGCAAATACTCGAACATACCACTTCCAGCACACATACACACAATCAACTGTATTTAAATCGTATCTCAAAACTGTTGTGAATTTTATCGATATAAATCGACGATCAGAAATAATTTGAACTGTTCCTCATTCACTATACCCTAAGAAGAATGCTTAATTGAGAGGAGCATTCCAATAAATCAGAGTTAAGTTGACTACTTAATCAAATAAGTGTTTAAGTGGATGATGTTTTTTCTTCATGCCACAAAAGTAGTGTCTTTAAACGATGGAACATTTCAGTATATTATCTAACCATTGATCCTATCGATAAAGAATTTTCTCAGATAAAAACAAAACGTTTTTCTGTTCTTTCCATTCGTCGAAATTGCCTTGCTATTTGTATTTCAGTAGTATGAAAAGACGTTTCCCATCCTCAAAAACGGTTTTTTGCAATGACAGATTGTTCCATCTAAACCTTCCGTAACACTAAATCTTTATATTCACGTACAAAAGGACGGGATGTAATCGCGATTTGTCCTTTTGTGCTAGTACTTGACATGTTGATGGGTGTTTCGGTGCAGTTGTATATTTAACTGTCCTGTACTGTTACAGTAAGTTCAGTATAACCATCAATGCTGTGTCGATTCGTGGTTGTACATTTGTCTTCATAAATTGTAAAACGTACTTTTATTTCTACGAAATGGTTAGACTTGATCTGATCACTTCGAATGGCATCTCAACACAACGAGATCTAATATATCGGTATTTTATTTGGTACTATTTCTCCGCACATTCATCAGCTACATGTAATTGCATGCCCTCAGTATATGCAAATATAAAAATAGCACTTTAACGGATGGTGCAGTGGATAGCACAAGCGCCTTTCATCAAGGGTTCGAATCCTCGATAGGGTGTGAATGGAATTTGGGTCACCAACCTAACCATGCAGGTTATTTTCCAGTACATCGGCTTTCTTTTCAAATTCAGAAATCCGCGCGCTAAAATACAGGCCAACAAGAGTTATTTATAAAATCTGAAATAACTTTTTTTTTAAATTGTTGTAAAATTTATCAAGTTTGTATTCTTAAAGATCAGATAACGGTATCATAATGGTAGATACGGTATCCTTATTCCCTTGTAGTTTGTAAACGGTATACATCGAGATGATCGATACAGATATTAAAACCATCGGAAGGAAATTCAAAGGTGAAAAACGGTTAACAGGAACATGCAAGGTTATTATCCCATGCAACGACTGCAGCAAGACAATTTTGATTGCATCGGCAGGGGACCTAATGATCAACACAATAAATATTCTTCTCATTTGCAGTGCAGCGAAAGTAGTAAACGGAGGCTATATCGGCTTTTAACTGTATATTGATCTGTTTCCTCGACAGAAACAATGATTTGATAAATGTTTAAAAGGGTAAATACATAATTTGTCAAATGGAACATTATCGTACCGTCATGTTCCTTTGCTTGAAAACAGGAATGATTTGCTGAGCAATCCAGAATATTATGTTAAGTAGAAAACAAAGAGAAACAATGTAATATACGCAGAGGAAACCTGAACTCATAGTCGGAACATACTGACAATTTCTTTAATCAAGGCGAAAACTGTCTTCTCTTATAGCGGGAAATCAGGTATCGACACTCATACAGAAGCAGACATGCTGTGATCGACATTTATAGAGGATTTTATCCGTACGTGTGAACGTTAATATAACTGCTTTGAAGTGTTACCCGACTCCATGATTTTGTTTCTGTAATTTGATTTAACAGAATGACAGGTGCGTACGGAAAATTCTTAGCGAAATCACATTAGATATACAAATTCCGTCACGTTCCAAGCTGTCAAATAAAATTCTAGACGAGGCATATGAACATATCTGATGATATTGGAACACCAGTATTTAACCGGCTTCGTGGAAAAGCCAAAATAGAGAGTTATAAGTATATAATAATCCTATCGTTTAAAAAAGGTGTGGGATAAATTTCGTCAATTTGAAATAATGTAACTGCACTGCATGTAAAATTGGTACGTTCATTCCATTTTGAAAGACATCATTGCGGATATCTTGAGAGTTTACCCATTGTTTTTAAAAACACGTGTCGACATTGAAACTGGTATAATTTGAATACAAATTGCAATTCTACCGATCCCTTGGGTTTGTCTGTTTTCTAACGTATAAGTGTCCGACAGATACCATGACACCTTTGTCTGATTATCAGTTTTCAAAACAAAATCAAATTAGCAATTAATGCCGTAACTAGGGTCGAAATACGAATGGGTGTTAAATAGTGTTGTGTTTTCCGTAACATTTCACAGTTGATTTCCCTGGAGTTCTAGCTAGTGATACCGTTTCTCCGACATGTTTGCTCCAAACACATCTATCTTGACAAACTATCCGTGACAATGCATTAGCAAATATGTCTCTATCAGTTACCAAATATTGTGTATACATAATAGCAATCGGTGTGATGAATTCTTTTGTAGTCAATACAGTTCTCATTCCGTGAAAATAATATCATGTTTAGTTATTAACTACCATCTAACGTACCATAAAAACAGAAGGTTGCCTGCTATAAAAATGAAATATCATTTAACTCATTCACCCATGAAGACACATTTGAACTCTTCCAATTCAAAGGTTGGAATGGTTCATTATGAAATTTCAGGGGTGAATGAGTTAAGGACGAACCTTCATGTGTGTAATGAATGCAAGTGCTGGAGGCAGTACATTGTGTAATTGCCTCCGGGCGATTGAGCAAATCTGATGCCCACTTTAAAGTTCTACTGTTCTAAAATGACAAGCCGAAGGTTTTCTTTTTGGTTTAACGTACTCGCAACAGCCAGGGTCATATAAGGTCATGTGTCAAGGTAAAAAACAGCCAGGGTCATATCAGGTCATGTGTCAAGGTAGACAACAGCCAGGATCATATACGGTCATATGTCAAGGTAGACAACAGTCAGGGTCATATAAGGTCATGTGTCAAGGTAGACAACAGCCAGGGTCATATAAGGACGGGTGTCAAGGTAGACAACAGCCAGGGTCATATAAAGACGGGTGTCAAGGAAGACAACAGCCATGGTCATATACGGACGGGTGTCTTCGTATACACCACCAGAAGAGAAAGTAGATAGAGAAGAAAGAAACACGACAGGACTAATATTTAAAGGAACTACATCCGGTTGACTGACCAGGACGTGTTAAAATGGTCTGACCTTATCCGAAGTGGAATCACCGCCATCAATGGCTAAGAGTATGTGCATTCCAATACTTTGACTTTCATGTACCATCTATAGACAAAAATGCATATGATATCTGAGTGATTTATGTCAAATGTGTGCTCTGGAGACTTTATAGATGTTTTTTTGTCTGGTCATCGTGTACATTGTTGGTCGCCATCTTGAATCTTGACGAACAATTATTATATATTTTCTCTATCTACAAGATTGTTATTATGGCTACGGTGTTATCCAATAAGATTCGTAAAGGTGTCGAGGCGATCCAATCCATTGACGACCCCGCTGTCATTCAGGAGGTTGTTACCCAATTAATGGACTCAAAACTTTTTAAGAGTGCGCTGATGGCGCAACTTGGTATATCGGACATGGCTGCTAAAATAGCTGCCCTAGAGGAACGAGTAGACGACGCGGAACAATACTCTAGAAGAACATGTCTCAAATTTCGAGGTATATCTGAAAGTAGCGGTGAAGATACCGATGATTTAATTGTAAGCGCATGTAACGACTCATTGGGTGTAATGGTGACCAAGGAAGACATTAGTAGATCCCACAGGGTACCAGCTGGGCCCTATTCCGCTGATCGCCCTGCACGCGACATCATCGTGCGATTTATATCGTACCGCACGCGAGCGGAGATATATCAGGCAAGATCTGCCGTGTTCGGTTTAAGGAGGGAATCTGACTCATCCGAATCCATTTCATCATCAGTCCCACCGCCATTCTATGTTAATGAAGCACTAACCAAGCAGCGTGCAGCTGTATTTGCCAAGGCCCGACATCTCAAAAGTATTGGTGCTTTTGACCGTGCATACACCCGTGATGGCCGTATTATCGTGCGAGACACCAAAGGCAAAGGCTTCAAGTTCACCAAACTATCAGAGATGTCCAACTACCCCGACCCTCCTCCCAAAAAGTCTACGCATATCGGCGCGACTACTTCCAGCTCCGCGCGACTGAGTGCTGCTAGCTCTAACACTAAACATGTTGCCCCCCTCAAGCCACTGGATACTTCGACCCCCAAACAGAACAACAAACCGTCAAGTCAATCGGTGATGAAAGACAATAACAAAAATCGATTTTCGACAATCTCTGGATTTAGTACACAATAATTATAGTATCAAAATATACATGTGCACCCTTGTGTTTACACGTGCCTATATATATACATGATGGGCCCAAGTAATTAACCTTGCCATATATCAGTATGTGTACATAGCCTGTTACGGGTGAATATTGTTGATTGTTATTGTTATTCAACATGTGCTGCATCAAATAGACATATACTTATTATCTACATGTAAGTAGCTTTTTGACATGCCCCAAGTCTCTCTGTGTAAAAATGTATCTGTCTACCTATCTGTACATGAAATACATGTGATCTATATATATACAAGTGTATGGCTCAACAAATAGCATTTATCACTATTGTACTTCTTACTATCAATATGATGATTGATCTGCTTCTCTAAATTTATGCTACCACACCTATTAGTCACCAAAAGTATATTTCTATATAGTCTATACAGCCAGATGCATATAATTGTTTTCTATATCTACATGTATATCAAGTTTGCGTCCAGTACAACTGGACCATTATCAATATCTACTCAATTTACTGTTTGTATTCATGGTTGTGAAATCTAGTTTACAAGAAAAATCAACCTGTAACCTTTAGTAATACATGTACAACAACTATTTGCTGTGTAATGATGTACATTAAATAATTTTATTGTGTTTGAGCTAGTATAACCTGTCAAAACATTAATTGAATTATATATATTTTTATAGATCCATATTTTCTATTTTTTTTTTTTTTTTTTTTTTTTATTTTTTTTGCTTGCTTGGTGAACATTCATGGCCAGTATACGTAGTGGATAGTGTCTAGCATATACAGTTCACATAATACGGTAAAATCACAATAATAACCCAGTGCTACTATCTCAATACCATTGTTTAATTCTGTATTATCTTGTCAACCTACTCTGACCTTATACTTATCTACTATTTCACGTACCTGTAATGTTTAGGCAATAGTGTTCCAAATGTATAATCCATGTGGACTACATGTCAACACGTGTCTAGTACCATACTGTTAATTCCCTGTAATTTAAGTGCTGTACCGGTTTGGTTTTTACCTTGATGCACTTTGGCATATTTTGAACCTGAGGATGTCCGTCTAGGAACATATAATTAGCTATCGCCCAGACCATCTAATAGTAAGCGTACCGTATTCGTGTTCACTCAAGTGCTTGTGTTTAATTGCACACATACTAAGCTGTACAAGCGTTTTGTAAATATGATTATATATATATTTTTCAAAGCGGTTGATTCCACGATGCATGTAACTTGTAAGTGTGAATTATGCCTCTTATGTATTTGTATTTTAGTTTGTTTGTTGTGTTTGTTGTTAATATTGATGCTATTATATGTTTAAGCAACGATCTATACATTGCAAGTCCCTGCCCATGCTCATGCTTTGCTGCTAGTTGTATTGCCCGAACCCTTATTAAGCGTGGATGTCCCACTAAACTGACTGTTTACGATAATGGTTAAAATTCTTTTTTCATCTGTTGTGAATAGGACATCCATCTTACGAGGGCATATGACTTGGCCATGCAGTATTTCTATTCAATTTATATACATTTATTCTAAAATATTCAACAATAACTCATATCTACAAATACTTCTGCAAACACTGCTGATTAAATGTATGGATGTTGAACTGAATCCAGGTCCACTCCAGAATGTAGAAATAGTTCATCTTAATGTTAGATCCATAAGAAATAAAATAGATGTTATTGAAGCACAACTACATGATAGTGACATAATATGTATAACTGAATCACACCTTAACCCTCTAATCCCAAATTCTGATATTAAATTAGAGTCATTCTCAGATGAAATTCATAGAAAAGATAGGACAACAGGGCATGGTGGTGGTGTTATTATCTATCATAAAAACAATATTCTTACTAAACGTAGACATGATCTTGAAAATGAACATATAGAAATGATTTGGATAGAAGTCTTAATCCAAAATCATAAATTTCTGCTTGGATGTATATATAGACCTGATTCTAATATAGAATACTGGAGTAAATTTGAACAAATCCTTGATAAAGCTAGTGAAACTTCCATGGATATACTAATTACTGGTGACTTAAATGTTGATATGCTAAGAACCCCACCCACTTCTCACTTATCTAGACTCTTAACTAAATTCAACCTAAAAAGTATTATTAATAAACCTACTAGAGTGACACCTGATAGTGCAACCTCTATAGATGTTGTCTTTACAAATAATCCTTCCATAGTGAAAAATACTCATGTTGACCCTGCTTTCTGTAGTGACCACTCCCCTATATATATGGAAGTTTGTTATGCTATCTTCAAACATAAAGCATACAAAAAGACTGTATGGATGTATAACAATACTGACTATAATATTATGAATGACGAACTAAATGTTATTGACTGGAACTTAATTGCTGCTGATATGGATACCCAAGAATTTAGTATGTTTTTAACTAAATCTATTACTGACCTGATGACAAAATATATTCCTAGTAAAACTATTACAATCCGACCTGATGACAAGCCATGGATGAATACCAATATTAGGCTAAAGATGAGACAAAGAAATAGGATACATAAGAAAGCCAGACATACTGACAAAATAGAGCATTGGAATAAATATAAGCAAATAAGGAATGCTGTTATTAATCAGGTAAGAGATGCAAAACATTATTATCTTGATAAACTTCAAAAGTCTCTAAGTACTAAATCTTTGCCCCCTAATAAATGGTGGAAAATTGCTAAATCCATAACTAATTTTAACAATAAAACTGAACCGATTCCACCATTGAATGTTAATAATACACTGATTCAACATCCAACTGATAAAGCTGAAGCCCTTAATGACTATTTTACTTCTATAGCCACAACATCAGATACACTTGCTGAACCTCCAGTATTAGATATTTCCACTCTATCAAAGTTAGAAAACATAATAATCTCTGAGCAAGATGTTGATGATCAAATTACTATATTAAATGAAAATAAACCAGCAGGACCTGATGGCATATTACCTAAAGTCATAAAAAAGTTAAAACCTTCCTTAATACTCCCACTTACAATTTTATTTAACAAAACTATATCTAACGGGTGCATACCTGGGCCATGGAAGATGGCTAATGTTAGTGCTGTATACAAAGGGAATGGTTTAAAAAATAATTATTCCAATTATCGACCAATATCTGTAACATCATGTTTTAGTAAAATCCTAGAAAAAATTATATTCAAATATTTATATAACTATTTAACAACTAATAATATACTTTCCAAGGACCAATCAGGTTTTAAACCAGGTGATTCAACAGTAAACCAACTTCTCTCTATATACCACACCATAATTAGCAACCTGGATAAAGGGAAAGAACTAAGGTTTGTATTCTGCGACATCAGCAAGGCCTTTGATAGAGTTTGGCACAAAGGGTTACTACATAAACTAAAAGCATATGGTATATCGGGCAATGTTTTTAACTGGTTTGAGAATTATCTTGAAGATAGAAAGCAGAGAGTTCTATCTGAAGGTCATTTTTCTACTTTTAGGGTTGTTAATGCCGGTGTTCCTCAGGGATCAGTTCTCGGTCCTTTTTTATTTCTATTATACATTAATGACATCACTGATATAGTCCAGAGTAACATTAAGCTGTTTGCAGACGATACATCATTATATGTCATCGTAGACGAAAACCCACAACTAGCAGCAGATTATCTTAACCAAGACCTAGATAGAATTAACAACTGGGCTAGTACATGGGACATTAAATTTAACCCCTCTAAAACCAAATCATTAATTTTTTCTAGAAAAAAAGAACCTATCCATCCTCTAATTAATTTCTCTAATACTTGTGTAGATAATGCCCATGATCACAAACATCTTGGATTAACTTTTTCTGAAGATGGCACTTGGTCTACCCATGTTCAATTAATATATGAAAAGGCTAGTAAAAGAATAACAATACTTAGGTATCTGAAATATAAGATTGATAGGAAATCACTATGCAAAATATATACAACATTTATCCGCCCAGTGCTTGAATATGCAGATATTGTCTGGGACAACTGCTCTGACAATCTTAAAAATTTATTAGAATCTGTACAACTAGAAGCTGCAAGGATTATCACAGGTCTAAGGAAAGGTACATCACACCAAACTCTATATAAAGAACTAGGTTGGGAATCCCTGTCTGATCGAAGGATGAACCATAAGCTAACTCAGATGTATAAAATAACTAACAATTTATCACCCACATACCTCCATGACATAATTGATCCTCTTACTCATAACCCAGAAAATGATAGGTATACTCTAAGAAATGTAAGAATGTTTAACCCACCACTATGTCGTACAGAATCCTATGCTAAAAGCTTCTTCCCAGTAATGTGCAACAAGTTCAATGGACTTGAAAATGATATAGTACATTCCCCTACTCTTAATAAATTTAAGGCCAAGGTGTATAATAAAATATGTTGTAATAATGATATCTCGGATGTATTTAAAAATTGTGAAAGCAGAAAGGATAACATAATCCTATGTCAACTGAGAAATGAGGCGAGTAACCTGAACTATGATCTATTCAAAGATCACTTGAAAGAGTCTCCATCTTGTCTGTGTGGTGATGCTTATGAAACTGCTACACATTATCTTTCACAATGTCCAATGTATACTAATGAGAGACAAACTTTAATAAATGAGATTTTTGAAGTGTGTCCGGTTAATCTTGATACTAAAACACTTCTTAATGGAAGCACTGTGTTAAACAATACTGAAAATAAATCTATACTTGATAGTGTTCTAAAATATATATACAACACAAGAAGACTTGTTTAACTAATTAAAACAATCTATAAATTTTGTTATATATAGTCATAAATGATAAAATTACTGTCCTTAAACCATTATGTGATTCTACTGATTGTTATATTTACATTGATGTTTTAATATTATACACCTAAGGGATTAAGCTTTGTAAGCTGTTTTTACTGATGGGTGCAATAAAGTAAAACATAAATGTGCTAAGTTTGAATGCTTAGTGTTCTGTGGTTTAATCTGGATTCTTCTCGAGTGGATGATATGTGAACGGTAAAGGCCGTTAGAGACTTTTTGTCTGAAACTCGATGGGATGAAAGATTTACACATAGAACACTGGCAATACATCTTACACATATACTACATTATCAAAATCTTCTAGCTGAATTGCCTCATTTTATTTTTTCATATTTTGATGTTGTTGTATCCCTTACTTTTTATCACTCCTACCAATGATATATATATTGATACTAAATGGTTCTATACTTCTAACTACTTCATGCAACAGCAGCAGGGTATGAACAGGGGGCACTAATGACTTGCAAAACAAAAAACAAAAAAACAATTGTAGCAATTTCTCTGTTTAATATATCATTAGGGCATTGCTTTCCTATTACTAATTAATTATGACTGACTTTTTAATATGAGCATTGTATAGCTAAAAATATCAATTAAATATTTATATGTAATTGAAACATACATGGAATTATCTCCCCTATACCATCTGCTATATATATATATATATGTCTATGCTACCTATTATATATGATTTGCATCAATATTTTCTTACAAACCATTTCATTCATCTTTGTCTTTGTCATGTCAACCTAAGGAGAGAACTTATATAGGCCTAGCCTGCTGTTCAATCCTATTGTTTAATCAATAAAATATGATGAAATACAAAATATTTAAAGTGTTAAAATGGGAGTAGTATATCAATTTTAGATTTTTCCGTGTTCCTTCTTGGAAGACATGGAAGAAAAACACCGATTTTGCAGGGACCCGCATTAGGCGCCTCTTAGAATATAAATGCAGTGGAACACAGCAGGCTATTATATTTACCCCCGTTGTTCTTTTAAGAGAAGACAAAGGAGAAACCATCCTAAATTCTTCATGGGGGGAGGCGAGAGGCACATTAATCGCCTCATAAGATATACATGCAGTGGAACACAGCAGGCTATTATATTTTCCCTCGTTGTTCAGACGAAGGAGAAACCATCCTAAATTATGCATTGGGGGAGGCGAGAGGCACATTAATCGCCTCATAAGATATACATGCAGTGGAACACAGCAGGCTATTATATTTCCCCCCGTTGTTCAGACGAAGGAGATACCATCCTAAATTATGCATGGGGAAGGCGAGAGGCACATTAATCGCCTCATAAGATCATGCAGTGGGATTAAGCAGTCGCATTTGCATTGGTCTCTTCAATGTTCTCTTAATAAAGGAACAGAGGACAGCTATGTGACCAAAATTAATATGCTGCACTCTTCCTCTTAAACAGGCAATTTCAAAATTGCAACACTTTTCTGTCTTGAATATGTGTTACATTCCTGTAACAAAAACACCTCTAGTAGTGTCTTTATATACCTTTTATTGGCCCTTTGGTAGCAGAACATCAGCTGTGCAATTTTAGTGTATTGACACTTTATAAGTCCCTTGAGTACTCACACTTTCAGTTTAAATCGACGTAAAAATGTCATTTTTGCTGACGTAAAAACCTAAAACAAATATAATCAGCACTATTGGAGATATACGCTGTGCGCTTGACGATGCGTTGTTTGGCCGTAATGACAACAACATCTTCTTGTCTTGGTATCTGAATTAATTGCACATGATATCCGAGTTGGTTTGAAACACTAAAAATTTAAACAAATGTCGCAAAATTGATCTACAGTCAAACCTGCTTGAGCGGCCACCTGAAATAAGCAGCCACCTCCCTTATGTGGTCAGGCTGTGGTCCGCCCGATAGCAAAAACTATATAATGAACCTGAAATAAGCAGCCACTTGTCTAATGCGGCCAGCGGTCACAAAACTCTGGCCCGAGACGTTATCTCCACCTGTATTCAGCGGTCATTTTGTCCAGAAATTGACATCAAGAAGATCACAATATATTAACAAAAACACATCTCAATAGAGCAAAGCTAATTACAATGTGTAATTAAAAACCATAGCTAAGGTTTGACACGTTGAATTGACAAGTTGTTTTCACAGCGATTTTTTGCTTGCAAATTGGGGCAGGTCCTACCGACCCATCAACAATGTTTTACAAACAAAACAATTGATCCCACCTTGTGTAGTCAATCAGCTTGTGATTTTCAAAACAAGTACGATCTTTTGTGGTATCTGTACATACTGTTTCCAAAGCTACTCAGGCCTACTAAGTTATATGTGATCAAAAAACATGCCGCTATATTGCATGCGGAAAACATATCTGCTTCCGATCTGCCAGTCCCTATTTCTATATCAAGGAAGCACACATCATGTCAAAGGGATAGATTTCACAGCGCAGACGCTGAATCAGATTATTTGTTTCATTACTATATCGTGATTTATTTCTATAATATATTTATTTGGTTTGTAAAAGCTGTGGGAATAAAAAAGTAAATGAATACTGATATATCATTTCAGTAGAAATTTATTTGAACCATATAGATCAGAACACATCGCAATGCAGATTTTCATTAAAAGTAGATCTACATGTAGATTTCAGTACTGGTGGTTGTCTGCTAGCGCAAAACGTTTGTGGAACACGTGTGTAGACAAACAAACATAAATTCATCAATTCAAGGAATTAATCACCAAAACTCTTTTGTATTTTATTGATTATGCTTTTATATTCAAGTATGAAATTGCCCCCCTGTTGATGAAGGGAGAAAAATTCAAAATTACATAGCAGTCTATATTGCCAGGGAAAATGTCATTATAACCAGTGATGTATGAAAACTTGGTTATGATTTTCGGGTGAGCCTTGTTTTAGCAGCCACCTGTCTTAAGCGGCCAATTTTTGCCGGTCCCTTGGGTGGCCTCTTAATACAGGTTTGTGTGTATATATCGAAATGACAAACATTAAATATAGTGACAATAAGGACAAAACTGTAAAATTTGTCATTTGACTCGTTGGATACAACAAGAAACATAACATAATCTGCAAGTATCGTTTAAGGAAATTGACATTACAAAGCATACATAGGTCATCAACTTTTGTATGATAGAAGGGATATTTTTTATCGCTTTTTTATATCATTGTATAGACTTATAATGATTTGTTTTACGTATTTTTTTTTCAGTGTTTTGCGTATTAGCGAACATACTAAGACGGTGTCCAATACATAACGAAGACACTCAGAAGCCAACGTTAAAATTCAGTCCCGCTGAAACGACATATTTTGACACGGTATTACATGTACAAAACTTTAACTGATCACCGTATACTGACAACGAGATAAGCGTTCCTTACCGCCATTAATTGATTTTTCATGACATATGTCGACTGTTGGTGATAAAGATAAAGGTTTTGAAGCCCAGACTTTGCATTTGATTCGAATACATGCGAAAGTATTCGATATTGAACATTTTCATCAACGCCGCTTCAGATAACTACGCCTACACCAAACATAACAAGATTGGCTTTTCAATGATAACGTTATAAAATATACCAGCCGGATGAAATCAAAGTCCGCCAAATAGCTTCAAACTAACATGTGAGTTATGTAAGATCTTTCAGTAAACGCCGTTTGCCACCAAACCTTATCAACAGACATATCTGAACAGCTATGTATTACTAATTGAGTTCAGTGGCCTCTTTTGCGTTTGACGCCAACGTATTTGGTGAATCCGTCTAAAAGCCTCCGTGTGACTCGGAGTCTTTGTCTAGCCTACGCTTCCTTGTGTCGGAGTTTGAGCGATATGACGTGCATGCACATGACGGTTATACATCAGTATTTTGTTTTATTGTACCTTAATGATCCCAGATTAAAACCACATCAATAATTCTGAGCTGTAACGGCCTAATCACGTCTACGTTCCTCTATGCAATGACAATTTAGAACGAATTTGAAACCCAGCCCCGTAAAAATACGCTCTATGATCATATTAGGGCGTATAACATACTTTGACTGTTTCTGTATTAACACAGAAAGCTACTAGTTACATATGGAATAATATTTTTTTATCATTAATTAGATCAATCGATTATTGCATTTTACTGCACTGGTGTTGTGTTTCCGGTATCTCATTGCAACAGTTTCCCAACAAAATACCAAAAGATACCATGGTACTGAAACTGTTTCCAATGAGACCACTGATGATGTGTATTTATTAACATAGTCTCGATTGCTATCCATTGTTTCGTTACAGCACAATTGCATCAAGGAGACATCAACCACATTTGTGTGCGTTATTGTTGAAACTCTGAAGGCTTACTATTTTTGTTTATGAGTATGGAATTTATAAGCACATTAAGAGCTATTGATTTTGGTTTGATTGCAAAAAAAAGTTTCATGTTCAACTAAGACCTTTTAAAAACAAACCGCCATGTGTGTGTGTGTGTGTGTGTGTGTGTGTGTGTGTGTGTGCTGGAGACTGAGTATGTTGAGGGAGAACGATCGTGGTTTCGATCGTAGTGCGATGGCCGTAGTTCCGATGTACAAATGTACATTACCGGCTATTGTAACTGTCAGCCAGTGCTCAAAGTGACCGTTGTAATAGCAACAGTTATTCTAAATGCCAGGACGATGAAGAAATACGTAAGGCTATTTAATCCAGACGGAAGGATGTTTTTATTTCATCGATAGCCTCTCTATTCTTATACATTGTTTTCAACGTTGCTTGATTATTTATTTGAAGTGTAATGTAATATTTATTTGAAGTGTAATGCAATATTTTTTTGAAGTGTAATGCAATATCAACAGATTATGTCTTATGAAGACGGCACCTTCGCACACGCGGCCGAAAAAAGTAGAGAATATATATGTACAAATAACTCTCAAATATAGCACATCATTTTTTT